TTTTGCATTATATGCAATTTAGTTGGCCAATTTCTCTGGTACTAGAGTAATTGCAAGATGTTTATAAAACATTGTATTACCATGTAACATTAGCCATAAGAGAGTTGAATCTTTACATCTTGCTGTTTTTGTTCATTTCTGCCTGATTGAGAAAATTAAAACTTAATTTTCTTGCAATAATGACTCTTGTATTATAATCAGAACTTCGGTATTAGGGTTTATAAGTATGTCAGCCATTTCTCTTATTCTTAAGGGGTTGAGACTCCACAATGATACTTTCATAATTATACAATACTCATATACTACTGTACTAAGTTATATTTAATATAGCTGATCATAAATGAAGTTTAATAAACTCTGATTGCTTGACTAATGCACACTTATTGCATTTTCAGAGTTGATTTTAATGAAAATATATGGTCACTATACTTATTGGTGCAATATGCCCACATTGTAATGACCATTATCATTAGATTTGCATAATAAAAACTTACTAAAATGAGTTTAATCTGTGCTTTTAATTCAGGGATGTGACTCTAATAAAGATTTTTTGGGTCATTTTTGTGTGTTTTTTTTTTTTTTTTACTTTTTTTTAACTCTGTGGTAGCTGTATCGTTTGTATACAGTAAAATCCATAGTGTTTACTTGTTTGTAGTGTGAGAGATAGATGCTCATTCTTATATAAATAATAGTCAGAAAAACATTGAGAGCTTGTCCCTGAAGAATATCTTTATAAATGAGAATGTATTTTAATGTAACTATTTTTCAAGTGTAAAGATCAGTTCACATAATAATGACTGCACTTGAAACTTGTTAGAAATAAAGTTTTCCAGTTCTGTGATTTTTTTTTTTTTTTTTTTTTGCCATAGGGCCCAAGTTTGTAGAAGAGAGAGAGTAAGACAGAGAGAGGGAAGTTGAGAAATCACCCCACAGGAGGGGTGGCCCTGCCACAATCCCATTTCCTTCATTCTCCTCTCAGGATTTTGGGCATGTATGCACACACACCTGGCTTGTTTTCTTAGGCCGCCAGGTCTAGGACTTGAACTGTGGTCAGCCATGTGGGAATCTAGCACCTTACCCACCATGCCACCTGCTGGCTCCAAGCAGTTTTGGTTTTGGTGGTGTTTTTTGTTGTTGTTCTTAAGTTCTTTTCCTTTTTGACAATCTATATAAAGACAGTTGTGTGTCAGAAATAATATCTTTCATATTGCAGATCATTCAATTGTAACTTGTATAATTATTTTAATATATTCCTAATGTGCAGTGGCCAAAAATCACCTCTCCTGAAACTCAAGTTCTAATTTTAAGATTTAAGTTTTCAATGGAGTGCACTTATTTCTTTTTTTTTCTGAACAGTAATTAAAAAGAGTTCTAACTAATGTTATATTGATGTAATATTATATTTATAAAAGCATAATTTTTACATGAAGGAAATCTATGAGAAAGTATCCATATTTGATTAAATGTGAACAGTTACACAAGATATATACTTTATATGTATCAGGAAATCACAAACAAGTGTTTTTCTTTATGATTCTCTATCATAAGTAATTGGGAAAATGTTTTTACATTAGTACAATTTCCTATGTGCCTTGGAGTGCCCTATTATTCTTGAAGATGCCTGTTAGGAAATCAAAATTCTATAAGAATAAAATAAATAAAACATATTCCTCCATTTTTTTTTTTTTGCTATAGGGCGCATGTGCTTGCCAAAGAGACAGAGAAAGGGAGATGAGAAAGCACCCTGTGGGCCATGGTCACATGGCAATCCCTTTTCCATTTTTCCTTCCTTTTGGAATTTTGGGCACACACGCATTTACACGTGTTTGTGGTGTTTCTCAAAACACCAGGTCTGGGACTCAAACCATGCTGTTGGTCATGTGGGAACCAGTTCCTTAACTACCAGGCCACAGAGCTGCCCTTCTCTAAAACTATTTTTGACTAGAAGTCCACATTTGGTTTATCAATAACTAAACTTTATTAACTCAAGGGAAGCTCTAGAAATAGAAATATGGCTAGCAAAATGGTCATTCCGGATCAGAGGGAACAGTGGGGCACAGACAGGATGCCATGGGACATGCATTAACAAAAGGTTTGAAGTTTTTTTCTATAGTGCATGGTTGTAAAAGAAGACCAGCTAGGGCCAGATAATACAGGGCTTTGAATGACATGCTAATAATAATAGTTTTTATTCTACAGGTCATCAGGAGGCATTGAATATCTATGAATGGGAATGTGATAGTCATTCATAATTTTTATTGAGCTTTAATGTGCCAAACACTGCTCTGGGTATTACATCCCTTAATCACACAAACAAAAATCCTTATCTTTGTGGGAAAAGCAGATAAGAAATAATAAATTATAGATAATACTAGAATATGCTAAGTCCTACTGAAAAAAGGAAAAGTAGAGCATGGTAAGGCAGGTCAGGAGGGCCAGAAATATTTAGAGGAGGTGAATATTTCCATTTTAAATAGGGCGGATAGAGTAGGTCTTGCTGAACAAAAACCTTGAACGAGGAGTGTGGGAATAAGCCGTGCTGGTGATGGAAAAGAACATTCAGGCATATTGCCTTATTGGGGAGCAGTGAGGTGGTCAGCGTGACTGGAGCTGGGTGAATGAGGCAAGGCTAGGAAATAGGGTAGAGGGGCATGGGGAAATGTGGAAAGTAAAAGAGGGCTCTGTAGTCCATTGTCACGACTTTGACTTGCCTTCAGAAGAAAAATAGCCACTGGAAAGTTTTGAGCTGAGGAATGACATGATATGACTTCATTTTTCACAGTATTGCTTTGCTGTGTTCAAAATTAACTTAGGAGAGCAAAGGTAGAAGAGGGAAATGGGTTAGGAGGTCCTACAGACATCTAGGTAAAGGCTGCTGGTGACTTGAGCCAGATCTTTGTGGACTGTAGAAAGATTGCCATGAGATGGACAGCTGGGTGACTATTGGGAATGAAGGAGAGTAAGGAGGCCAAGATGACAGAAGTCTGAAACCTAGACAAATGGGTACCGGTGGTACCATTAACATAAATATTAGCCTTCTCTTTGCAAAATGAGAGGCTTTGGCCAGGTGATCTCAGATGTCATCCAACTCGAATACTTTCTTGCTCCTTACTATGTGGTTTAATATGGACAAAAACTATGTTAATTCCAAAAAAGAGTGAAGTGAGGCAAAGATAAGACTAAAGTCTCTTTCCATAAGAGCTGGTGGAAATAATGCTTGCAATTCTTTCTTTTTTTTTTTTTTTTGTCTTTCTTCAATGCTTAAACTTTCAATGTATATTCAGGTGAGATACAGATTTGAAGCATTTCGGACATGCGGGTACCTGAACTTAAGAGAATTTGACCGAACAAAATCATATTTTCACCTGCTTTACCTTCCTGCTTTGGACATACAGATATGTTTCCAATGTTGAGTTTAAAACCCCAAAGCATGAGAGAAAAAAGAAAGCAAAAGTTGCTTAAAGAACTGTATAATCTATCTCACAAACCTACATGGACAGGCACATATCTGGATGGTGGTAGGGTTACTTTAGGCACTTTTGATACGTTGGAATTTCTTTCTCTGATTTTGCATTACAGGCAATCATGACGCTTGTCATCGTACATAAAACAGTTTTCTGTTATTCACTAGAAAAAGAGAAAATACCTGGTAGAGTCCTTGGGTAGATTCATCTTTCTTAAAATGGCTTCAGCTCTGATATAAATAATCCCCCCCCCTTTTTTTTTTCTAGACACTAGAGATTGATTGGGGTTTGTGCCAGCAGGATGTGATGAAGACATAGTACAGAGATTAGAGGTTTAGATCCCCGAGGGAGTTGATGGATTCAAAGTAGAAAAAGAGCATATAATAGCAGATTTGCCCCAGTTGATCCAGGATGGATGATCTTTAGCAGCACTGGGTTGGTGGTGTTTGAAGACAGCTTTCCTGAGATCCTGACACCAAGTAATTCTTACTTACTTCAAATTTATAATGGAATCCTCTTCACCAGTGAGAAGACTATTTTTCTAAGTAAAAAAGGATATGAGCATGCGCAACGAAGCTGATACACATTATTCCACTTTCGTTTTAAGAAACAAATGTGTAGGATGTAGCAGAGAAATTAATTAAATTCAATTCCTGACTGAACATTTAAAAAATCTGGCCCTTTCCTATACCATATCTTTTAATCGTCACTTAAATGCATTTATAATATAATATAATAAGGACTGTACTTCATGCTGATCTTATATAAAAGTCTTAAAGCATCTTCATGGAATATTACCAAATTGTTAGGTATCACTTCAGTATTGTACTCTAATTCTTGAAATAGTAGAAACTATTTATGTTATGTGGTAGTTTTTATTAACAATCATATTCTATCAATTAAAATATACCATTTCCAATGATTCTCAATATTAGAATTAGAAAACCACATGCAAAAAAAAGTATTAGGCATTTTTGAGAAATGGACGTATAACAGAATCAGAATCAGTAAGTTCAATTTTATTTAGAATATTTGTAAAGGTATCCTTTAGCTATACATTAGATGTAACAGTGAATCTTAGTCTGATCTGTTTGATTACATTTCATTACTATTAAATGTGACAATTTTCTTGTTACATATTTTTAAAAAATAATTTAGGTGTCTTAAAAATATGATTATTCTTTCTAAAACTTTGGAAAAACCTACAGAGACTTACAGTTTTGCTGTATCTTTTCTTACATTTGAACTCAGCACAAGTGTTGTCTTAATCAGGTCCGATTTTGAGACATTAAGAGTCATACTTAAAAACACACACTTCCTCACCAAACGCTTATTTTCTGTCTTTAAAAAGTTGTTTGTTTTTATTTTTGTAATAAATGAATTATTTATATATTTTAACTTTCTAATTCATTTGGGCTATTTACAGTTGATAAAATTATAAATGAGAATCATTCAATTATTATTTTTTGTTTGCTCTATGAGTTTATTTTATCTGACTGTTCTTTATTCTTTTTGTTTCCTTTTGGTTTTTACTAGAACATTCAAATAAAAACTTTGGCAGATGATGTGGTAAGGTGGTCTTAGCAGCATGTTATTGTATTACTTGTGCATGTTGCCTTTTATTAAAGTAGGTGGACATTAAAGCATTGATTATGTAAGATATAAGATGTCTGTATATTTACAAAGTACAGTAGAATGGAATGGTTATCAGGAGAATGCCTTCTCTTTCTTGAATATTAATGTAAACAATTATGTCAGAGCCCAACATAATTTTGATATTATCATACTGATATATATCTTAATAAAATACTTTTTAAATCTCCAAGTAAATCTATACTCTGGGACTATATACTCTGGGAAACAGACATTTCCTTTATTGATAGCCAAATAAATTGACTGTGAATATATTAAACATTAATATTAGAGGAAATTAATTTTAAATAGAAAGGAAATTAAGTTCATTGTATTAGTCAGGTATGTGTTATTAAATTTAAAAACTTTAAGTATTTTCAATCTGAATCTATCATAGTAAAACTTATTAAGTATTATGGGCTCAAAATTTACATGTGACCTTTTATAGCTAAACTTTTAAAAATGGTATTTTAAGTGGTATCAACTTTTTTTTCTGTGAAGCTGCCTATCTACAGGTAATGTAAGCCACTGTTAGTGGTCTAAGAAGATGAGACTGTGTGAATTAACTTCATTTCTTACAGCTGAAATGAAAAGCCAGTTTCTAGGTTAAAATGAAGGGCATAGTGGAAGATCAGATATTTGTAAGTAATGCTACTCATTAAAAAAAAACTAGCAAAATAAAACTAGTCCTGGAAAAGTAAATAGTAACATGATAGGAAAGGAAAAGAAATGTGTTGATTTAATGGTGAATTACATATTCAGATGCTTTCATGTCCACCATATCTTTTAGTGAGATTTGACTGTTGGATATACTGGGCTTATTTGGGATTACTTAATTTTTTTCTTGAGTTGTTTGATGATATGTTACATATCTCAACCAATGTAATTTCCCTCAAAGAGTTAAAAGAAAATTTGAAAATATAGTTCACAATAATTCGAAGAAATGAATCTTAAGTTAATGTGAAAACTGAGATAGCAACCAGGGGCTCATGAATTTATGTGAGTTCCTTTTTCTGCGAATTAAAGGAATTGGTTTAGATGATTTTTTCAAGTTTCTCCCAGCTCTAAAATAATGATTTATATAATCTCATTGTAAGCAACCAGATACTCAGATAATTTTTATAATCCTAAATAAGCTATTTAAAAGTATGCCCATGTCTTTCCAACTACACCTTTTATTAAAAGGAGTGTTCTTTGAATCACTAAAATAAAAGATATGTTCTTTTAGTGGGACTCACCGTAATTTTACACAAGCTGTGGTAATAACTTCTATGATGCTTATTGTACTGTTGCAGTAGTTTGTAAGGATTCAGGTAACATGGCAGTGAAATGCACTGCCCTCATTCATATCTAATGTTTTTGCTTGTTTAATGTGAGCTGATGGTATGCATGTGCTTCCTAACAGAAACTAGAATAAAACTGAGTTGAATTCAGTTTTATGTACATTACTAATTTTTGATGTCTGATGTTTTCTGGTTTAAAATAAAATGGCCTGTTTGCATGTAACTGAAGTTATTAACTTACTTTATGAAATAGCAAGCTAATTATTAGAGATTGTACATGGAATCAATGGTTCAAAGTCAATATCCATAAAATAGCAAGTTCTTCATAATCATGTTTGTAGAGTAAGTAAATCTTGAGTAACATGACAAGAAAGGAAAAGAAATGTTTATATTTCCAGTAAATGCAAAAGGTGATCTTTAATTTTGTTTTGCTTCTTGATGGATCACACATTTTGGGGAAGAAAAATTGGGGGGAAACAATAATAGGACAATAAGAGCAACTAGGCACCTTAAACATGCTAATTTATTTAAATCTCACAATAATTCTATCATGTGGATAATAGCATTACCCCTATTTTAGAGATGAGGAAATGGTCATATAGAGGCCAAGTAACTTTTTTTTTTTGTTTTTAAGAGAGATTTTTGGTATAAGGTGCGTGTGCTCACTTGGAGAGGCAGAGAGAAATAGAAAGCATGAAATTGCCACCCAGGGGGATGGCCACACGACAAACCCGTCTCCTCCATTTTCCTCTTGGGATTTTGGGCATGCTTTCACACACGCCTGACACTGAGTTTTAAGCTGCTGGGGCCAGGACTCACAAGTAACTTTTCTTTAATATTAAAGTTATTTTACTTTACTTCATTTTATTTATTTCTTCCATGAAAGACAAAGACAGATGCATCCCAACAGAGTCCTCACACTGCAATCTACCTCCCAACCCCACCCAGCCCTGTTCACTGACCATGCGTACATGTGCCCGGCTTATATAGGGAGGCCCTGGAACAGAAATTTGGGACCCTCCCATGTGAGTTCAGTTGCATCACTACTGTACTACCACTGCTTGGTCCTGGGACCAAGTAGTTTTTACAGGGTTACTCAGCTAGGAAATGGCAGAGCCTGATAGTCTGGCTTCAGAGTCTGTGCTCTTAACCACTCTAATGCTATACTGACAATTATTCATGTATACGTGTCACAATTTTTACCACTTTGAAGAAGAGAATCATTATCATAATTTTCCCTTAGAATTGGTTATTAGTAGCTCTTTTTATTTTTTCTTCCTTTTTTTTTTTTCATAGTTCTAAAGTTGCCACCAAAGACGACACGTTCTTTCTGAAAACAACTACAGGGCCAGGGCTTCGATCCAAGACTTTTTTTCACCTACTTACTATGTTAGACAGAAATGACAAAGGACTAAGTTTTACTTTTTGAGAACTAGTTTTCACCTCAGACTTCTGAAGCTGAAGAGATACTTCAAGGTTTCAGATGGTACAATCTCTAACTGGAGCTTGCTGCTTAAAATAACATTTTGTCAAAAGACAATAATGATATATATTATACTAAGTGCCATTTTGATGTTTCATTTCTTTATGTTCATGCTTCTTGATCTTTTTCTTAGGACTTTTTATTTATTTATTTATTTATTTATTTTTCTGTTTGCAGCGTGACCGAATTACAAGTTTTAGAAAATCTACTGTCAAAAAAGAAAAACCTCTTATTCAACATCCTATTGATTCTCAAGTCGCAATGAGTGAGTTTCCAGCAGCTCAACCATTATATGATGAACTTTCTTTGAATTTGTCAGAAAAGGAAGTACTGGATCTCTTTGAAAAAATGATGGTAAGTTAGATGATGTAATTTTAGAATGTGTGTGCCCAGTGTAGCATTGGGTTTGAAGTTGGTGTTTTTTTGAATTTATTAAATTTATTTTATTTTTTATTAATTAATTTATGTTACGTACTTTCACTGGACATCACCACAGCATACAAAAGTGTTTGTATGGACTGTGTTTATTATCACATAAAGGAGAGTCCTGAAACTTGGTACAACACAATTATTTACAAAGGTATCTTTTTTTCTGTTATTTTTACCTAAAATGTCCTTACCTATCTCTCTCTTCCACTGTGAGCTCCAAAAACAGAGATAGTCTTATTATCTTGGTTCTCTACTATTTAATAGTCTCTGGTACAGTCAACCAATTTTTTAATTAACTAATTTGTATGTCTTTTTCTATAAAGCAAAACAGGCCTAAGTCCGCTTTGCTGAAAACAGCACAAGGTTTCTTGTTGGGTATATGAGATAGAGTTGGGAGGACAGAAGGTAAGAAACAGCAATGGGAACAAAGAAATTAATTCATCCAGATTTGTTCTGTTTGCAACCATCATACAACCTATAGTTTCTTTATTTTTTTTAAGGTTTAATTAATTAATTTATTCCTTAAGGTAGAGAGACAGAAACACAGAGAAACAGAGAGACAGGTTCCCTCAACAGGGTTTCCATGCTGCAATCTCCCCTGCCACACACACCTTAGCTGGTCTCTGTCATAGGCACATACATGTGTGTTCCTGGCATACTCAGGAAGGTCCTGGGACCCAAACCCAGAACCTTTCCCTTGTGGGTACAGTTGTGTTACCACCGTGCCACCACCTGGACCTCAGCCTGTATTTTTAAATGCCTTTCTTATGTTTTATAGCTTGTGTTCTAAAGTATTCTTAAATAGGATAGTGAATATAGTATTTTGAGTATCCAGCAGTTTATGGGAGGAGAGAGGACAAAAGAGGCATTGGGTCATATTACATTCATTAGCTTAACCAGAGAAGAACTGGAGATCTTGATTTATGATTCATTCATTTAAAGACCTATCTCACTGTCACTGTTAATTTTCTGTGGATGTCTATTTTTTTCTGTAGTTAGGGTGCACAGGAATTTCAATGGTCCCCTTAACCAAAATAAAACGTTAAGAATCAATGAACTCTAGGTCCTTCTACTCTGCCTACTATGGATCATCTTGTCACCACAACTCTCCCTGTCCCCACTATTTCTTCTGCCTAGAAGAGTTAGTAGACCTTTATAATGTTTGTTGGAAGTTGCCGAATGAATATGAACACATGTCATTTATCTTTAAACTTTTCCTTCTGTTGAGCCACAATGGGCATTTGGCCTTTCCTCTGAAACAAGTCCTGACATTTTCATCCTCTTCAACGCTTCCTTCTAGTCCTGTGGTACACCTTTTTTCCTGTTGCTCCTTCCATGCTGTCGTCTTTGAACTGTCTTTAAACATCATTTTCTCTTGTGAAGTCTGTTATCTGCTGACCTTTTTTGGTGATGATAGCACCTGGCCATCCCTTTGTCCATTTCCTTTACTACTTATTTTGGTCATTTCAGCTGTTATATTGATAACCCCTTGAGCAAATTTTTACTCTTAGTAGTTCCTTAATTTTTTGAACTCCGAATCCATATGTTTATTTAATTATACGTATGAATACACTTTGGCTTGTGTCATTCTTTGGAATGATTCTACCTCTATAATCTTTAACTCTCAAATTCTCTTTGGAAGCTAAACAACCTATGCTATCTTTCAAAGGCCCTAAATTTTACAGAGTATGTACTGTATAGTGGTTAAGAACTTAAACTTTGGGGTCATTTATACTTGAGTT